AAGAGAATAACAGTTCTTTTACTAAAAATATATGTATAACATAAAAAACACTAGAACAAACAATGACATTGTTACCAAAACTTTTCAAAACAAGTCCTACTTCCCCTTTTTGGTGTAGCTATAAACCACATCCAGCAGGGGGACGCTGGCACATTCCAAAAGGCGAGGCCTGCAGCAATCTATGGCTGTGTGGGAAATGGAGGTCCTGCAGCAAACAAAGGGGACTCCCACTGGCTGTGTGGTGCTGGCAGGTTTAACACCCACTCACTCTCACCCCCCTTCATGTGATATCCCCCTCTCTACCCACGTGCCCCCTCCCCCAGGAAAGGGGGAAAGGGGGGGAGGGGCTTGTGCCTTTTCATTGTCAATGAGCATCACTTAATGATGGCAATGGGGAAAATTCGAACAGCCCCTTTCAAACCTAGAACATAGCTCAAACAGTTACCACCACAGGAGGTGATTGTCCTGCTCTGCACTGCACTGAGGCAGCCTCAGCTTGAATATTGTGTGCAGTTTTGGGCACTGCAATATAAGAAAGATATTAAGCTACTAGAGAGTGTTCAAAAGAGGGCAATGAGGATGGTGAAGGACCTTGAGGGGAAGCCATATGAGGAGTGGCTGAGGGCACTTCATCTGTTCACCCTGGAGGAGACTGAGGAGAGACCTCTTCACGGTTCAAAACTTCTTCATGAGGGGAAGAGGAGGGGAAGGGTGTCCTGTATCTTCCCCCCAGCAGGCTGAAGGAAGTAGATCAAAAGAAAGGCATGACTGGAGGAAAGTTTTCGCTGGGGGAAGGAGATAAAATCCCTTCATGGGATTATGCCAATTTCTCTTCCTCTAAATGCTAAATGAATCACATCAGTTCAAAGATGACAAAGCTAAAAATATCACAGGATGTTTTGTGTTGGAAGGGACCCTAAAGACCACCTAGTTCCAACCTCCTGCTATGGGCAGGGACATCTTCCGCTAGACCGGGCTGATCAGACATCCCACCTTTAAGGAGAAAGGAGCACACAAGATTTGTGAATGCTCGTGGTCCAAGAATTCCAGAAGTCAGAAGGTCTGCAAAAACTCAAAGTATTTTATTAGTAAATGACATCACCCAGCCAACAAGTCACAGCCTTCATCCCACACTCTGACTTGGAGGGTTCTGGGTATACAGAATTCTATGCCAAATACAAAGGCATCCCAGGAGAGAGCTCCAAATACAAAGACACCACAGGAGAGAGCTCCTGGGGGTATCTTGCCAAAGCTGGCAGACCCTCCAAAGCCACCACAGAGAGTCCTGAGCCCCTCTGACCTCAGCCCCAATGGCAGAAACATGCCTTACTCCAAGGACCTTGTCTCTCACTCAGAGTTAGAAACCCCTCTGGACATGTGTCCCATCTCCATCCATTCCAGCCTTTTCCCTGAAATCACACTCACCAATCACCAAAATCTAACTGCAGTGGGGTTGACTGGTGTTGTCTCTATGGACAGCTCTCAGTGTGACCCCTCCTCTGTGATGGCACAGCCACCAGAGCCACATCACCCGACAAGCCCCAGCCTTCATGCCCACCCTCCTGCTCAGTGGGTTCTGGGCACCATCACCACAGTCAGTGCCAATTCATCCTCAGGAGATCCCAGGAAGTCTCTTGGTCAAATGGACACATCCCCCAAAGCCACTGCAGAGAGCCCTGAGCCCCTCTGACCCAGTCCCAATGGCAGAACTGTGCCTGGCCCTGAAGGGCTTAGATCTCTGGCTTCGAAACCCCCCAGCTCATTTGTCCCGTCCCCCATCCAGCCCAGTCCAGTTGTAGAACTGAGCAAGGAACTCAAAATATCAGATACCAAAGATTTCACTGACTGGCAGAATCAGAACAGGGCTGTGGATTCGAAAGGAGTTTTGAGATTGCACTAAACTTGGATTAAGTTGAGCCTGGGCTTATGGAGGCTAAAATTTAGTGTGTGCTTCTGCAATAGTGAATAAACATCAACAATCTGTAGAGACACCGGCTTGCCTGTTCTCTTTATTCCTAAGGCTGATTTTCCTTGAAAGAATTTGTGTAAGAGATAAGCCAATGTATTGGGGATACTGTGGGCTACAGAGATGTGATATCCAGCTCTACCTTGAGCTCCATGATGCGTGTTTCGAGAGGTTATACTTGCGACTAGCTCTGCTCTAGTATTGCTTCACCCATGTAAGCCTAAAAACAAATCATCCCAAGTGATTGAGTTGACTCTTCTCAGAGGAACAGTGGCACCAAAAGTCTGGGCATGCTCTCCCATTGCAAATGTAGAGTAAAATTTGCCAGTGCTTTGTCTGTGGACTTAGAAAAACACATGATAACAGTTGTGGAAAAAGAATTCAAGTGGCCCACCATGAAACCTCAACATCTAGGTCCCACAGCTGCTGAGACTGAACAAAGCTGGGGAAATTACTGAGCAGCGTGGGGCTGTGTTTTGGAGCTGTGCTGAAAGGGAGGCTGGTCTGGGTTTGGGAAGGGGGGTCTGGCATCAGTCAGGTGACGAGCAGCTGTATTGTGCATCAATCGTTTGTATTTTTTTCCCATTTTTATTATAATCATCACTATCGTTATTATACACATTATAGTTATTATAGTATACTATAATATATATTTATATTATATATTGTAATATTGTCATTACATCATTAGTATAATCATTACGTGTATTATCAATATAATACATACAAAATTATATATTATAATTATTATATTATATTATCAATTTCAAAGTATTATTACTATAAATAACAAATTCTATCAACATTTCTGATTTAACATAATTATTATTATTAAAATTAATTTATTATCAGCATAATCATAGAATCAACCGCCGTGGTTACTAGACCATGGCACTCAGTGCCACATCCAGTTTTGTCTTAAAAACCTCCAGGGATGGTGAATCCACCACCTCCCTGGGCAGCCCATTCCAATGTTTGATTAGTCTCTGTAAAAAATTTCTTCCTAATATCCAACCTAAACCTCCCCTGACAGAGTTTAGGACTGTGCCCTTTTGTCCTACTGCTGGTTGCCTGGGAGAAGAGACTGACACCCACCAGGTATTTGCTGAGAGTGACGAGGTAATTATTTGCAACAATCAACATTAGTATTATTTGCGACTATTATTGTATTTTACTTTGTTCTCCATTATTAAACTTATCTCAATTATTACTTATAAAACTTATCTAAACCTACAAGTTCTATTTACAAGTTTTACTTTTGATTCTCACACCTATTCCACCAGAGTGGTGGGGAACAGAAGATGGTTGAGCAAGTGACTGATGGTGCTTGATTTTCAGTTGGGCTTAAACCACAACAGGGTGCATAGGTAGCTGGGAGCAGACACAGACAGGACTGCTGCTCCTTAATATACTGAACATAATGTTCTGGTGGGCTGACCCGGCTGTGTGTGTTCCAAGTCTCCATGCTGCTCAAAACAGCACCTGGGAAAGTTGCCAATTCCTACAGAAGCACCAGGAAGATGCCTGGGCTGCCCTGCTGAAGTGCAAACATCAGCACAGAGCAGAGCTGCACCTCAGAGGGGTTGGTCAGCAGGCGCAGGCAGCATCAGGAGGAGGGCAGCTCCCTGAGCTCCCAGTTGTGCCACTGAGGCAAATGCTTCCAGGCTGATTCCACCAAATTCTGCACCCAGCCAGCGATTTTCTCCATGTTCAAGTAGGAATCTGTGCGGAGGTGCATACAAGGCATGAGCGCTGATTTTTGTGCGTGGGGTGGACAAAGCACAACATATCCCCATCATCCTGGACCATAAGCACTCCAGCACCACAGGGATGTCAGAGTACTTCTCTGGTACATCCATTCTGCTGGGCAGCTGCAGCCTGAAAGAGTGCCTGGGGGGTGACCTTAGGAACAGGAACAGGTGGTACAAGATTCGGTCCCCAAAGTCATTCCAGGATTCAATGGTGCCATGTTTCCGAGTGGCCAGGTGCATCTCTGGCTTGAATGTGTTCTGGGAAAGCACTTGGCAGACCTCAAGGAGGTCACGAACCAGTTTCTTTAGATTTCTGCCCATGTAGGGCAGTTCCTGCATTTGTGAGAGGGTGAGCTCTGCAAAAGGCCTGACACCACTGTGTGCTCTGGTGAGACCTTCCTCCTCTCTTCTGGAGCCATCCTGTTCACAGCATCTGTGAGAGGCAACCTCCATGCGCCAGGCCAGCCAGCAGAGCACAGCTGATGTAGCCACCCAAAAAAGCCAGTGCTGCAACATCAAAAGGAGTGGGCTTCTTCCAGGGCCCCAATCCGCTCATTTCCTCCCACAGCCGTATCATCTCCTGATGCAGAAATTCTTCCTGTTCCTTCATCTGCTTGGCAGTGAGCACATTGATCTGGTGATCATGTGTCTGCTTGGGCAGGATGGCCAGCACAGCCAGGAGGAGCACAATTGCCGCATCCATGGCCTGGAGGAGATGGGAGAAAAGTTTACTGAGCAGGTCTGGGTGGGAGGGAGCATGGGAATAAAGGCTTGAAGGGAACACAGTTCCTGGCTCAAGACAGCACAGGGTCCATCCTGCCTGAGCCACCTTCATTGTCAGCCCCTGTCTCGGCTGTTCCTCACAAAGGGGCAAGAGACACACCAGCAAAGTCTCCCCAGGCTCCACCCCTGCCACACTGGAGCAGCAACCCATTCCAGGGGCACCCAGCACATCCCCAAAGCCTCTTTGGAGAGTCCTGAGCACCTCTGTCCTAGGTCCTAGTGGCAGAACTCTGCCCTGCTCTGAGAGACTCAGTTTTCACTCAGAGTTAGAAACCCCCCTGGGCATCTTCCCCATTCCCCAGCAATCCCTGCCTTTCCCCTGCATGTGCACCCCCTGATCGCCCAAGCCCAACTTCAGTGGGGCTGGCTGGTGTTGTCCTTTGGGACAGCTCCCGTTGTGATCCGTCCTCTGTGATGTCACAATTACCAGAGCCACATCATGCAGCCAACAAGTCCCAGCCTTAACACCACTCCCCTCAGGATCAGTGAGTTCTAAGCATCATCACCCCAATTACAAAGCCATAGGGCAGGACCTCCCTGAGGATCTCTTGTCAAAGCGGGCAGCCCCAGCCACTCCAAAAGCCAGCCTTGGGGGGAAAAGCCTGTGACCATGAGGACAGAGGTGCAGAGCTGCAGAACCTCTGAAGCGGAAATTGCCCTGCTGAGTGTGCCTTGACCCGAGTCTGAGAAGTGGCACCACAGCACCAGCACAACTGGTTGGCTTTCCTTGAAATCTTTCTGGATTTCACTAAAGCTTTTGACACTGTCTCTCACAGCATCCTTCTGGGTAAAATGTCCAGCACACAGCTGGATAAACACAACTTCCCGTGGGTGAGCAATTCGCTCACAGATCGAGCACAGAGGGTAATTGTGAACATCAGACTGGTGACAAGTCACTAGTGGGGTTCCACAGGGCTCCATCTTAGGCCCTGCATTCCTCAACATCTTCATAAATGACTTGGATGTAGGACTGGAAGGGACACTAAGCAAGTTTGCAGATGACACAAAATTGGGAGGAGCCGGCCAAGGATATGTTCTAACATCATCATCAAACAAGGTAATGTAAAATTAATAAACATGTATGCACATATATCACAAAATTTCACTGTATGCTATATCATTGTCTCTTCCTTGTCCAAATGCCACTATTAAAGTTGATGCACCACTCTTGAAGTTGAAATATTTCTGTCCTGTTTCTTTCTTCATTAATTGTTTAGACACACTTTTGTGAGCACATTTTCTCAGTACTAGATGGTAATATTAGTGATCTTGTGCAATTGGTCTTTGTAGGAACTACTGCAAATAGCACTACCTGATTCTTACTTTGGAACAAGCTATCAGTCAGTTTAAAGAAAGCTAACCTCCCTTTCCAAACAACATAATGAAGGCCTGCAATTAGCCAAGAAAGCTTTCAACAGATTTCAGGGAAAAAATTCAATTAAACCTAAAAAACAGATCCTACTTTTTCTCTAGAGAAGCTAGCACATCAAGTCTCAGTTTACAGACAAACAAGAACGAAAAAGGGTGAAAAAGCTACTTATTTTTAGAGTTATTGTTTTTGCAGCCTGAAAAACTTAAACAATGTTTTCAAATGTTCCAAACAAAATGAAGAAAGGATTTATATACATTTCTATTCATAAAAAAGACAGACCTTTTTCTATTGGTGTTGAAAGAACACAAATTGAAATAAGGAATGTACTTTGGAATATATTTTCTAGAGAAAAATAATAGTATTTCTTTCCTAAACAGCTAGTTAACTATCACTACATCATCATGTACAGCTGCACAATATGCAGGGCTATGCTTTTCAGCCATATCTTTTATTAAAAATGGAAAATTCTCTTCTAACTTCACTAATAGAAAAGCTTTATTCCAAAACACTATTGAGTTAGTGAGTACTATTGGGGCTGAACACACTCTCACAGACTCAGAACAAAACTGGGTTTCACTCCTGCAATTCCCTAAAGCCCTCCCTAAAGACCCTGTTAGATCAAAAACCACTAGGAAAACGGTACTACATCAGAGTAAGAAATTTCTATAGAGTTTTCTTCTCTGTGCTCTGTATTCTTTTGTCAGAAGCCAATAGCAAAGTTCCCATTCACTTCAGATGGTGAGTAGAGCTGCAGCTATTACAAGCTGGCCTTGAATGACAGGAAGCCTTGCAGATCTCAATACAGAGAAGGTGCTTCCTTATGATCTTCAGATGGTATATTAGGTCGGAAAGTGGAACTATTTCAGATCATCAGAATGAATTGCATATACCAACAGAATTCTGAATTATTCAATGGTCTCAAGCATGTGTCAACATAATACCCTATTAAAAAATCTGAATAGCACTAGAATGTGCTGTCATTCAGCATTAATCTCACTAAAAAATTCATTGCCTAGAGGCCATGGATTTACAGAACTGAGTATAGTATGTCAGCAGAGATTTATAGTAAGTCTTATAACCTTTAAGTCAGCATTTCATTAGCAAAATCTCTGTGCAAAATGCTTATGGAAAACTCAAAAAAACATTTAAGTACTCTTCCTAGGATAAAAATTCTTGCATATTGCTAAGATATAAAAAATATTCAAACAATCCAAATCTAAATCAGATCATGATCATGCATATCTGAGCTACAGTTGTATATAATAAAAAAGTGGAATAAAAATTTCCTCTCTCTAAATGCTGATTGTTTCTCTCAGTCATTGCCTTCAGCACCAAGCCTCAGAATCTCTCTTAGTACATTTATTGCTTTCAAGATTGTGCTGTGAAAAATGGCAGAACCACAAGTTTTGACAGAGATATTCTTGTCCACATAAATGAATATTAAATGTCATCCCCCAAAAGATTAGGTTGTGGATGGCCAGTGTAACTCTTTAGTACTCTCTGAATTTGTATGCACTATTTAGCTCCCTTTAATCTCTTTATCCTTTTTTTTTTATTACCTCAGCATGTCAAGATAGATGGACATCACTACCCAAACATAATTCTTGTCAATCACCACAGTCCTTATTCTCTGAACCAAAATAGCATTCTGCCAAGTATTTCAAAGATCTTCTTGGATTGGTACTGCAGTCCATAAAGCCAAAAGCAAAGAATTATGCTCAGTCTCGGAGAGATTTTTTAATAATGCCTTATGGGAAGATAGGGATGTCTGTTAGGATATTCATGTAGTAAGTGGTTACTCCTCTGAGACTCTTAAGGTTCTGAATGCCACTTCCAAAAGGGTCAAGATCTGATCTCTCATGGATTTATACTAAACTTCAGTACTGTTTGGAGACTTTACTCCCTTTGACTTGTCTTGGTATTACTTAGGGGTATCATGCAGTGTAGGTTTATGAATCTCAGCTTGAAAAAACACACTATTATTTTCAGAAAACCTGCCACAAGTTCATACAGACTTGATGCACATACCACAAAGTTTTTCAAAAGCAGAGGCATTGCTTGTAAAGTAAAATTTCTAATCTTCCCATTTAAAATATTAATTTGTGATTTAAACCAAGTATGAAGTGGCATAGACCGATTACAACTACAAGCAGGCTGAAGAACACTGTTCTAAAATGTCAGGTGCCTGGCATTCCTTCAGTGTGAAACCTGCAAAACCTCAGGCTTTAGCAAATTCACTGCTGATTTGTTAAGAAAAGGTGAGAAAAATGGAAGTGTTAATGTGTCAGCTTGGTAACTGGATGAGTGTAAGAAAAGCTGAGAAGAATCTCATCAAAAAGGAAGGAGGAGGGACATAGGAAAAATTCAAAAGATAAAGAGGAATTCAAGATCAGTCATTAAGGTAATTCATTTATTTAGTTTACTTGCCAACTTTTTAAATTCAGTTTCTCGGGGCAGAAGAAATAATCCATCCACAAGCAACAAAGTAGCTAATAAGTAAATGTTCATTAAAGAAAACATACGAAAATGGTAGTAAACACAGGAACAATTGCAGTAAAACTCTCAGGAGAATATTTAGGTCTTCAATAAAGCTCAAATTAGCTAAGAGATGTAAAGCCTGAAAAAATTGCTTTTGGTATTTCATCACATTTAGGAAGTCTTTTACATTTTCTCCTTGGTGACAAACTCATAAGAGTGCCCTAAGAGCACTTGGACTGTCCTACTATCCTTGTAGAATTTTTTTTTCACAACTTCCAACTGTTTCTGAGAGTTGAATATTTTCCCTGATTTTCTAAACTGTATTTTGGTTACTTTATTTAGTCATTTATACGAATTGTTATATAGCTAAACCACTCCTTTCCCTTTCTGGAGGTCATGCTTTCACTTTGCTAGCCAAACCCATAGCTTATTTCAACTTTTCTTATAACAGGTTGCACATTGATCCTTGCCTGTATCCTTTTTCTTGAACACTGCATTAGAAACACTCTTGTACTAGAAAAGAATATAGTATGCTAGCAAGGAATCCTGGGATCTCTTTGCCCCTTTTCTTGGGAACATCTTTTTTCATAACTCTTGAATTGTACTTTTTCTGTTATCAACTGTGACATTAAATTCCTCTAATCTTTTGTCATTTCCAACTAAACAGCTTTCAGTTAATAATGAATTTTCTTATTACCCCTCCCTAAGGATATGACTAAGCAGTTGTACTATTAAATTTCATCTCATACCTTGCAGACTATTGCACAAGGTGACCTAGCTTTTCATCCCTCTTTTTGATGATGCTGAACAACTTTGTTTTATTAGCAGGCCTCATTAGCTCTCTTCTGCCAAAGACTGCAATGAAAATATTAAATTATATTGGTCCCAAGACTGATCCCTGAACAACCGTACCTTTAAGTTTCCTCCTACCTGACAATTTCCTTTCCTGAGCAGGTCAAAGCAATTTTCTCTTTAACTACTTAAAAGTCTTCACAAAATTTATTCACAAAGAAATGTTTTGAGTTATTTTCTGATGTGTTACCTTTTTTTAGTCCATGAGCTGTTTTTTTTTTTTCTTTTAAATTCTTAGTCCATTACTTCTAAGGGCATATTTTCTCTTTTCTTAAAAGGTTCAATTAAATAACTAAGAAAAGGCTAATGCTCTTACTGCTTTTTGCCATACAAGGCACTGCAATTTTGGAATCAAAGGTTGTAAAAGACTTTTAAGATTATCAAGTACAACTGTTAGCTCATCAGTTCCAAGTCCAGCACTAAGTTGTGTCCCCAAGTGACACATCTACACATCTGTTCAATACCTCCATGTATGGTGACTCCACCATTTCCCCAGGCAGCCTGTTCCAGTGTTTGAGCACCCTTCCAGTGATTAAATTTTCTTCATATCAAATCTAAACCTTGCCTGGTTCAATTTGGGGCCATTTCCTCTTGTCCTGTCATTTGTTACCAGGGAGAAGAGACTGACCCCCACCCGCACCTCCCTTCAGGTAGTTGTAGAGAGAGATAAAGTCCCCCTTTGAGCCTCCTTTCCTCCAGAGTGAGAGAGGTCCTTGAGAGTTCATGGAACTTTACTTAGTGAAAGCTAAAAAACTACCTGGAAATTATCACTTTCCTAAGGAAAAGGAAAATGCAGGGATGTGTTCCAAACCATTTCATGCCATCTTCTTAAATACTATCACTTACAATGAAACTTGCTACACACGTAGTGAAGGAACATCAGGCACTTCTTTCAGTAGTCAAGGGGAAAGGTTAGATAATCAGGTTTGAAAACATCAATTTCATTTTCACTTCCACCCTAGTTGAAGCATTCTTCATATTCTAGCCTTTCATTGATCACTGCTGCAGTTTAACTCCAGTTACCAGTACTATTGTCCTAGATGGACATTGACAATCCAGTTTTAGGTCTTTACCTAGACTTCTCCAAACCTCTAGGTTCACAGGATGGTACCTTTATTACTTCCCTTTATTCTTTTCATTGGTGAGGTTGAAGAACAATGTGGGTTTTGGTTTACCTTTTTTGCAGACCAAACTTCCTGCAATTTTTATTTTATTCCAAAACTTCCACATATCTAAAAGTTAAAAATTTAGGCCAGAAAACTGAGAAAGTCTTTTTCAATTTCTGAAGATTTGTGCTAGTCCCCACCTTTGCTTTAGCAAGTACTTTAGGCTTTCTCCTTGTTTAGTAGAAGTTCTATCTACTTTCCATATTTGATCTAATTATTTTCCAATTTGACT